TTGGGCAAGGCACTTTGGGCACATTCAAGGCAAGCAGATTCCTGCATGGGCAGGTATGCAGAAATGCCGCAGCATTGGCAAGTCTCATGGGTCTCCCACGGATCGGCGCCGGGCAGTTGGTCCCAAGGGACCCAACCCATGGCGCATGAATCCTTGACCCCCTGGCGGCTTGGCGCGCCTGCCACTCTCCACTCTCTCACCTGCCCGACGCCCATACGTGTTAAAGTTGGCAGCATCCCATTTGGACTAAACTGATGCTCACATTCTTCAAACCCATTCAGAGTGGAACATTAGCTTTGTTCTACTGGCTCGTGGACCTGCGGTCGGGTCATAGTCGGGTCAAGTGAGCGTGCTGACTCTTCCGAACGGCATGGCTTGTGCTCAAAGGTGGTCAGCTGAGCGTGGGTCGGGCGGTCGGGTGGTCGGGTGGTTGGGCCGGATCATTGGCGCAGAGCTCTCGCACCAGAGAACGCAGATGCACCAGGCCGCCCCCATACCCCAGAGCCATCCTGAACTGAGCATGAAAGCGGTACGAAAACTAGTGGATGTTTGTCTAAGCTCAGATAGCTCCAGCTTTTTTGGCAGTCAGGGCCCCCCACAATTCATGATTACACGGTTTGGCATCAAAACGATGAATCGCTCGATTTTATTCCACTCCACCCTTCCCTTCCCCCCCACCCCCCAATGGCGTCTCAAAAGATGCGGTTGTTTTCGACCAGTGTTGCTTTTGTCCGGTCGTCGTGGCGCTCCTTTCTTGGCCTTGCCCATGCTCTTCCAGTTCTCGGGAAATCCACCGCCGTTTCCCTAACCGCAAAGGCCAAGGCTTCAGAGGCTCCGGAGGCTTTCGCGGCCCCGGCGGGCGTTCTCCCCGAAGGCTGTGGTTCGGAGTCACCCGGAGGCTTGCCCGAAATGAAATGGAGGGATGGTTCACCAAAGGGGCCAGCCATGGAGAAAGAGCACCAAAAAACCAATAGCGAACTGAGGGGTCCTCTGGCTAAGGGGCAGCGGTTTTAGTAGTAGTGGTTGTTTCTCACAAGGCAGTGGTTGTGTTAACGCTTGTTTCCACAACACGGCAGGTTTAGCGTTTTGCACCAGCTGCCATCCAGAGGTGTGTCTGCAAGAAGCCTTCTATAGTGAAGGCATCGACGTCCAGATTGACTTGTTTGGTCTTCAATCTTGTGGTTCATCCCAGCATCAGACTAGTTCGGTGGCACCTGGAGCATGGTTGTTTGGTTTCAGAGTTTCTTATACATAGGTATATGATGTTAACGGTATATGGTGTAAATGGATATATGCATAAACACACACGTTAAATATTGATTCCCCTACTTGGTGGCTTTACGCCTGCCTTTTTGGTTGCCGGTTTCAAGTGAATTGTTTAGAGGGGAATTCAAGCGTGTTTGCCGCATGTGGTCCACTATTTTCCGTTGTGAAATCACAACGACTCTTAGATTGGGTTTTGGTGCTGACCACATGAAGGTTGCTGTTTTTTGGTGTCCTTGGTTGGTGAAGTGTGGAATCTCATCAGCACTTTATCTACTTTTTAGAGTTATCACAAAGTCACCAAATGTGCTGCACATGCCCATGTCGCGCTCAAGGCTTCTTGGTCCTCACCTTGTGGAGCACGGCCGCCCTCGGTTCGCAGATCATAGGTATGGTCTGTAGTTAAACCCTTTTTCCCGAGGCAATCCAGCTGGTGTTTCCACTTTTCCCTCTGAAATGACCAATCCCAGAATACGGTACTAACCAAAGTGTGACCATGTTCCAGGCAGGTCAACGGTTGCACCTGGGAGTTTGCACGCCCGGCGTTCATTGGCCGAGGCTGGGCACCGGGGAGGTGGTGTCGGATTGCTACGGAAAGACCACCGGCGAGAGCTGCCAGATCGTGTGCAGCCGTGGCTACGAGCTGGCAGGCCTGGCCGAAGGCAAGCAGAACCCAAGGCAGTACGAGGGTTCAACCTGAACGTGAAAAGACGGGTATCATTTGGGACGGGTCAATTGCACAACCTCCTTTCCAGGTAGCACTTAGTACAACACAAAGACTTCAGGTAGGACTATCATCTCCACACGCTAAGTGATGCACCAAGGGTGGCGTACGCCACCAAAGCTTGGGCACGAGGGAAGCGGTGTAACGCACAAGCACTCCAAGGCATATGGTAGAGAAGGACCCCAAAGAAGGTATCCTCCTGTGGAACGATTTCTCCATTTGGCGGGTTGCAGGGTTCCACGTTTTGAACTGCATCAACCCCCCCTCAATTCGAGCAGTCCTGTCAACGACGCCATCAAAAATACACTTTCGGCCGCTTAGAGCAACCCTATGACAAGATCTTTGCTTGGCAACTTTGCATTTTGACACTTGCTTCCCAGATTTGGAGAGCTACAGCCCAAATTAAAATGGGGAGCAACTCTTCGTGATCGATTGCTTTTTTTGCAGGTCCTGTTGCACTCAGAAATGCTTAGGCAGGCAGTTTTCTCTCTCCGATGTAGCCTGTGAGAACACCCGCAATATTCATCAGTTGGCTTGTTTGTTAGCTTCTTCCTGTTTCCCGGTCTTTTTTCTTTTCCTTTAAGCCCATGTGAACAAGTGCAAGCAGTGCATTCTCAACGGCGCACGCATATCCACACTATGCATAGTATATGTATATATGTGTGTAGATGTATGTGTTTCCCTCGGGTTTTTCCACCCTGATTTGCCCGGGGAAGCCATCCCCCCCATTGGTGATCCCATGTTTGAGCGGAGGAGATGGCACAGCCACCTGCCTGGCGGACGGCAGCTTTTCGCGGCCCAGCTCTGCTCCTTGGAAGGGAGTGCAATCAATTTGGCTCCCATGCTCCATGTCCAAACCCAAAAACAGGGCGGGGTGTACTGATATTTCTCTTTCACGTTCAAACATTGCAAGGCCTTGCTTACCGTACAAACATGTTTGTTTTACCCTTTTGGGGGTTTGAAACCTTTCTGGATCGATTTGAAGTGAGATTCCTTTTGGTGGGGCGACCTTCAGAGGAGAAAGCGATTTCCTTCAACCGCGGGGTCATGTTTGATCCGCTTGCTCTGGGTTGAATTGGTATAAACATCTCGGCGTGGTCTGGTTTCTTTTTTGCTTCTTCACCCCGGAGATCAACATGTTTCATGGCATTTCATGGGGTCCTGATTTACAGGATGGATCGGAATTAATTTGCAAATGTCAATGTTGATTGGGGGTTAGCTGAGGTTTCCTCGCGCTCTCATTGTGAGATTTGTGCAAGTGGGACTTCCCAGTCACTAGGGATCAGAGCCTTCTTCCTTTCTCTCACTCTTTTTTGTTGGGTGGTTGAATAAGCAACGCACGGTGTGGTTCCTTTCCCATACCACCTTTTAGCCAGCTTTGAGTTAGGTTCTTTTTGGTGGGTTGGAGTAGGGGGAACTGCAAGGAATCCCTTGTCCACATTGCTTCAGCTACGAAGCGGACTGCTCCCAAAGAAGGCTCCATATTGATATGGCAACTGGGCACTGGGACGTCCATTGTCAGTCACTTCAAGAAGTCCAATGCTGAATTTCCACACTCTTGTCCAATTTCACGATAGCTAAACAGTAGCTTGATCTTTGATAAATGCTATTTGCCGACCAATTCTGCGTCACTTCCGCTTGCGATGTTCATGAGTTGCCCAGTTGCAGCGTGTGAGTTTGAAAGCACAGAAGGCTTTTGTTTGACGTGTTGCGGTTGATCCTCTAAGATGTGCTGGCATGTTTGGTAGATGGTAGCTCATGCTTGGGCAATTTGATAGGAAATGAACGAGAACCACATAAGACCACCCATTTAAGGAGCCCCCCCTGAAAAATAAGAGACAGCCGCATGTAAAGCAAGTGAATCAGCCACATGAATCCTCACAACTTCGGTAAACTGGCAAATTGAGAGGGTCGCCCAGGTGACCCATTTACCTTCCATCCGTAGTGCAAGGGACCAGTTCCAGAAGTTATTTCGGGACCTTTGCTGGGGCTTGATTTGCATCTTCGGATGCAGCAAGTGGTTGATGTAAAGAGTGGTGAATGGATCCTTGGGCAAATTGCAACCCATCATAAAGCGATAACATGACCTTGAACTATGACACACACACACACACAAACAAACAAATCACTCATTCGCGGCGGGGGGATTTGCGCCCCGATTCAAGAAATTGAAGGCGACCATATGGGTATGGGTCAAAATTAAATCAGGGGACCACAGGTTTTAGCTTTTTTGGTTCCTTTTGCCAGGGGTCCAATTTGGGTACCTATTTTTGACCCCCAGCCATGTCACAAAGGAAGCTACCGCGGTTCAAGCGGCCGCGATGAGGTGTGCAACCCCACGATTTGCGGGCGCCTGGACACCGTTGCTCCTTTTTCGCCCGTGGGCGCGCCTTGGCCTTTGTCCGCTTGGGGCGGGCCGACCTAGTTGGAGGCTTTTCGGGGAGCTACCTGGGCAGTGATGGATTCCCGAAAAGATCTCAACGGGATTGTTGGGGAGGGAAAAGCCAAGCGCCAAGCCAGTCTCGCGAGTCTGGCATGTCCTCGTTCGCTTGCGTCATGTCACCTTCTGCCAGCAGCAATTCTGCTGATGAGCACGTAGGTGTTCGCACCAGGTTCCTGAGTCGCGGATCAGCCGAACTTGACCTTTCTCCCCCAGAAAGGACGCAAGAACCTGTCAAGACCCCCCCAAGGAGCCTTCCTAAGGCTACTGAAGAAGGCTTTCCCCACGGTGGTTCGAAGCCCGCAGCCCTGAAGAGGTGGACGACTCCTGTGACACCCTGCAGTTTGGAGAGGCGGCTGGGTGGATTCTCATAGGCCAAAGTGCCCAGGGCCGGTGACAGCTTTGTGTTTGGACACATTCTGGGCGGCACACTCAGCAAGTCACTGTTAAAGCCACGGTTGCGAAGGTGAGCACGCAGATCGTCTGGAGAAAATAAACAAATCAGGGCAAATCGTTCTATCTATTATAATGGTGACCCAAGTCTTTGAAGAATCCAGTCTTAAACATTTTCCCATGGATGCAGGTGGTTTTCAAAATAACAAGATAAAAATGTGCTCAACTTATCAAAAGAGCCTGGTTGGCCCGCATATTCTCTACAGTGGATTGGATTAGGGAGATATGTCTTTTATGCAATAGACTGTGAGTCAATGAGTCGACTGATGAACATACATTTTGAAATACCAGTCTGCATCCTGCACGCTATACGTGTTGCACCAATCGTTGTTCACCGTGGTTTAAGCACGGAGCGGTTTGGCGATGCCTTTGAAGCCTTTGTATATAATGTATTGGCGGGCAAGCAGAGTGCAACCGTTGGGAATAGATGAAAGCTGCTCCGGCAACACAACAGATGATCGTGGCTGCAACTGACACATGCTTCGGGCACAGCAGGGGAGTCGATTTTAAAGCTGGCATGCTTACAAGTTCTCCTCTTACGGATGACTCAGTCTACCCTTCCTTGCGCAAACTCAGGTTCTCCTGTGCCCTCCCCCCCCTTTTCCCCCGCACGCGAAGCTTGCGATCTAGAAACGGAAAGTCGAAACATGCGCCGGAGTGACTTTGCATCCAGCAAATCTGAAGGAGCATGTCCTGCATGTGGGAATCCATATCCAGCCCGAACAGGGCGGGGCTTGCTCCGGTCTGGCATAGCATGGCGGATTTAGTTTTCTGTGATTCCCAGCCCTGCTGGTGCCGAGAGCCGTGCAAGGATCTTGTTGAAATCAACTTTCGCCGACTCTGTGTTAACCTAGCTTTTGGCTTTTCTTGGGGGGGATAGGAACTGGTTCTTCAATAACTTGGTTCTGAATAGCCATGAAAGGAAACCAAAAGGGGATGGAACCATGTTTTTTTCCAGAGCCACTCTTCAACAACAAGCAGGGGACAGTAACGGCTTCTGTTAAAAGGGTTCCAGCTGGCACCAAGATGTGCATTGCATCCTGGAACCATTTGGAGCCCATTTGTTAGAACGCATTTTGCATATGTGTGTGTATTTAGTATAAATACCCCTCTTTTGGTGGTTGTTTTGAGAGGAGCCCAAAAGCACACCACCCATAAAAGAGGGTCCTTTCCGCCCAACTCCCCAATCCCCATGTTGTGTGTGTGTGTGTGTGTGTGTGTGTGTGTGTTTTTCTCCTTTATTTTTTTTTTCGCCAGCTCTGCACGGCCTTCTGCTCGCTGGGTTGGGACATCGTGGGCAACGCCACGGTGCTCTTGTGCGACGACGCCCCCAACACCTCAGCACCTCGGCGCCCGGCGGAGTCGGCGCCGGACATCCCAGGATGGAGTCCACAAATTCGGATGCCGCGGGTTTTTTGGGGGCAGCTTAACACGGTCAAAGAACAGGGGGTAGTTCTAGGGGTACCTTCCCCCTTCTTTCCAGGGATCCTTCTTTCTAGGAAGCCTTCAGGATCCCAGGGAAACGGCCGGTTTATTGAAAACAATGATGGTTGAAAAGAATGGGGAATCAACTCCTACAGTAGTTGTTTAGTTACGTCCAGCACCTAAATCCCTTTGGTTGGCGAGCCGTGATGAATCATCCCTCAATGGCTGCCTTATTGGATTCCCAGTTTTTCGGTAGCGCCCAGTAGGTTCCTCAACAAAATAGGCAAAACTGAAAAGATGTGCTTGCGGCTTAAAAGCTTATCCAGACCCAGTTCAGTGGATGTTGGCGGGAGGGGTAGCGCTGGTTGCTTCATCTATCCATCCCTGCAGATTGAGGGGGTTTCTGCAGTGCGCTGGGTGAACATCAAGTTTGTTGTCAGGACACACTCAACCCATCAGGCTATGGATTTGGATGGCGGGCATCCTGCATTATGATGGGTTGACTTGAACCGCCAGATGAACAGCAATATGGCTGTGGGTCAAAACCAATGGTACCACTTTTGGGGTGGATGTTTTGACAGGGGTGCAATGAAAAATATGTTCCAGGTATCCTGCCACAGGTGCTTTTTTTGGGGGATTGTCCATTTGCCATTTTGTTAATATGTTTTATTGCGAGCTCACCATGATGCAGGTCCTTTCTTTGGAATTTGTTATTTGAGGTCTTGATTTGGCTTCTCTGCGGCCTTTCAGCCCTTGAGGCGGGGTACACGGAGGTCGTGCCCAACACTGCCATCTCGTCCCCTGCGGTGCAGTCGGCCGGCCCCACCTGCGTCGCTGGGCGGAAATCGTTTTCAGTTGCGAGGGGGAAAAGGCGGAACAGCCTTCTTGCCCAAATATGGGTGTCTCAGAATGGCGGGGGGCCTTGTAAGATGCTTTGTTTCCGTGTGGCTCTTCAAGCCCAGCCTGCTTCTTGGGTACCTGCACGAAAACAGAAAGCATTTGGACCCATCTGGTTTTGTTTGGAGGGTACCCTTCTCGGGGTGTGTCCTAAAGGGAAACCACCCTTTTTGTGGGGAATACCGTAGCTGGACAAAATCCACCACGCACCATTTGGCAGGGGTGAATAGTTATAACTATTGGGATGGGCATGTGTGTGCAGTGCTGGGCGGACTCATTGAGGGGGTGCGCTTACACTTTGGTATTTGTGTGCGTGAGTGCTGAAGGGTGCTCGAGCACGGGCGCGCACACGATTCATGGCAGGCGAGTATGCAGCGCAGAGCGGGTAAACTTGGGTGGGTGTGCTTGCCGCGGTGTGCGTACCCTTGGCAGGCATGTGTACAATGCTGAGCGCGTGGTCTTTGGGCGGGTATGCTTACCCTTTGGCATGCATGTGTGTGTGTGGGCGGTGCCGTGCTGGGCGGACGCACATGGGCGGGCGCGCCTACCATTTGGCATCCGTGTGCGCAGTGCTGAGCGGGCGCAGCGGGCACGCCTAGCAGGCTTGCGTGCAGTGCTGACCGGGTGGACTTTGTGCAGGTGTGCTTACCCTTTGCCAGGCATGCGCAGTGATGGCTTGAGTGGGCGCACTTACCATATTGCAGGCGCATGTGTGCGCTTTTGTTGGCGCGTGTTCTCACAACTGTCAAGAATCTGAATCCGACAGACTCCTGACGATGCGAGCTATCGTGGGGTTGACGCCACGAACTCACCAAATTGTCTTCCCCCAACAATCGTGTCTTCAATTTGGGATTCCTAAAGTAAACTAACCGTGTTGTCGGCCCCGCGTTGACGAGTACCCATATGTAGGACCCCTGACGGGTAGGCCATTCGGGCCGCCGGCCTTGTGGTCAGGATCCCCGGCCCTGCACGGCGGGCATCCCGAACCTCCTGGGGGCCACTAGCGACTGCGCTGGCAAGGCGGTTGCTTCGAATCCGCTCGTGTGCGTGATGGTGGATCGAGTCATGGAGGGGAGCCATAGGGGCCCACAGCAGAAGAGTGAGAGCTACAAAGACTGAGTTCGGGGTTTAAGGAGTAAGTAGAAACACGTAGGGGAGCCACAGCTTCGGATGACCAATTTGCACAAGGTGTCTCTTGCGGTTGTCAACCAGGAAAACTCAAAGGCACCGGGAATGAGGTTGGATGGTTCTGGTTTTGGCGCAAATTTCAGCTTTTTGCTTGGGCCTTGGCCCAAGGAATCCGAACCACACGTCGCCAGACTTGACCGGGGTCCCTATTGTTGATGCTGGATTTAAATAGAACCCTGCGAGCTCACAGGTCGTTTCCGAAGAAGTTATACGCATCCGCTCCCAGTCAGATGGGAACCCAGTTTAGCAACATAATTGGCACGGCTTCAGATATATGTTTCCCCTGAAAGAGCGGGTGGAAACAGCATCTGCCAAGGCTCTTTCAAAGTTGAAGCTTGGCAGTCTATGGCACTCGGTTTCCACGTGTCATAGTTTCGGGCCGAGTCCTAGCACTCCACCACGCAGCATAGTGCAGTGACTGCCGGTAGGTGACACTTGAGACCTGCAGCGTGGTGCCGCTGTTGGGATATGCGCATCTTGGAGGAACTCAGTCACCTCAAGCGAATCGCTTAGAGTTTGACTGTTTGGCAACCAATTTTTGCGTTGCCCGACTTGGCTTGGCTGTTTGATTCATTGTTTCTTTTGTGTTCCTCAATTTCCCGTTTCAAGCATCAACAAAGCGGCTTTTTGAAGGGAGTCTCAAGCTGGGTCTGTGCAGCTCAGGTTATGCACACCGGTGAGGCAGGTCCAATTTTGAGTGAGGGATTTCTTCTTTGGCGTCTGATGCAACGGTCGACCAAGAGGGGTTTACATTGTGTTTGCAGGGGGCATGAAACAGTGCCACGGTGAACTACCGAAGAAATATACATATATCAAAGACTAGTTGCTTTACAACTTGCCCTCCCGCCCTTGCCATGAAACCTGACTGGTCAAGGAGCTCCATAACTTGCAGGGTGTTGGAGAGATGCCGGGAAAAGCTCTTGGGCTAGTCAACGGACATTTGACATTTTGCCCCTGATGCAGCCCTACTGGCTCCAAGTGTAAGCCCTCAGCCTTGTATAGCTGTAGCTGAAGACAGGGGTACGATTTCTCATCGGGGTACAGCTAGGTCCCCCAGTAGTGTACCCTTTTTTGAGGGAGGGTTCCACTACTAAAATAGACTACAGAAAAAAGGGTACCCTTATTCCAACCTTTCTAGACAGCCCTCACACCCAAACGGCATCCACACCTTCCCGCTGCACCGGGCGATCATCTTCAACTCTTTGAAAGGGCTTTCTGCAGCACACGGCGTTTGGACGTTTGTGTTTTGTCTCAAAATTGGGGGAAGACCCAAAATGGCCGGTGTCCTTTGGTTTGCCCTTAAACCCGTGCAACAAAGGGCACCCCCAAAAGAGACATACATATATATATATATATATACAGTTGCTCGGGAAGCTAGACATATTTTATTTTTATTTTTTGGCACCCATTTGTTCTGTTGCACCCTGCAAATCCCTGTGGCCTCCCCACTCGTCGTCTCCCGCTCTGACGCTGAGTCTCTCTGGCTTTGCCCCAGAAGGAACCCCGCAACGTGGGTAACATGGGTGAGTTGCCTCTGGTTACTCTAGCCCCAAAAGATGGCACCTTCAAACGACCGAATGTCCAAGACATCCAGTGCTGCCCTGGAAGTTCCAACTTACATTCAACAGAGTTTGATGCACGGAGAGGGAGTGGCCCTTTCAAGCTATCAAGTTATCAACCACAAGACTGGAGACTCTTCGGGGTGTCCCTGCTGGGAACACTATTGGAGGGGAACACCCTCCAATCCAAATACTCGAGCTGAGGTTGGAACCGGGGGCGTCCAACAACATGCTTTGCCAGCCCGCCGGGACGCCCAAAGTGTACTGGTTTTCACCGTGGCTCAAAGGGAAACCGAAAGGAGAGCCACCTTCTCCTTTTCTCTTGGGGGGATTCTTGGGGCAAACACAAGGCCTTCAGAGGTTCACATGCCATGGCTTGTGTGAAGGGGGCTTTTGATTGAAACAAGTACCAAGAAGACAAGTGCAGCAGTCAAAGTGCTCACCAGGGTTTTGTGCGATAGGGATCCCTTCTTTCCAGTTGTCAGTCCCCTGACATGTCAGGAATCCTCATGGGATGCTCAAAGGGTATGCTGAAGCATCCAAAATGGGCAAGTCGCGGGAAGTCTTAGGATACCCCCCTCTTGGAGACGCCCGCTGTCCTGGCAAGCTAGAATTTATTTTCGTAAGTGGTTGGTGGGTGTGTGCTCCTTGAAAATCAATCGCAAAAGACATGTCCTTGCGTTCCAGGCGCGAGCTTGGCCAATAGCTTGACCACAGACATTCTTGACCGCCCTTCTCAAGTGAACACGCTCCTTTTGCAAGTCAACAGAACCCTCTTCGCTTGCCGCCATATTCTCTTGATTAGGATGGGAGACACTGCAGACGTAGCAAAGTGAAGGAATGGAGTGTGAGAAAGAGAAAGCCTTGGCAAGCGAAGGAACGAGCGGTAGACCTGGAATGAATATCTTTCTCTCTCACGAGCCATTTCTTTCAACAACCATGTTGGTACTTACGCAGTCCGTTCTGGTCGGTAACCACGCCTGGTTCTGGCCAAACAGCGGACCCACACTCAGATTCCAGCTGTACCTGGTTGCCAACTAACCCATAGTTGGCCAAGTGTCACATTCGGAAGTGGTGTATGCTTTGTGTTTTGCAGAGCCCTCTTCAACTAATCCAGCTGGAGAAGAGCATGTTTACTAGGTCCCCCAGTAGTGCCCCTTTACCCCCTTTTTTGGGGGAGGGTTCCCCTACTGAAATAGAGTACAGAAACAAATCCCAAAACCCTTATTCTAACCTCTCTGGTGGAGGGCCTAGTTTATGCTCCATTCGGTTTGTCCGGAGCCTCACTGAGGATGGCTCCTTCAACCAATCGGCGCCCAGCATTGTGACGGCTACATGCCCCACTCCATCCTTCGGGACTGGCATAGGCCAGAAGGGCAAGGACTGACCCGAAACAAGCGTCACCCCTTTGTTCCTTTTTCTGAGTTGTTTTTTTGCCGAGCAACCACCGGAAGGAAACTTGAGATTGTTATTGTTGTCGATTGGGTTTCTGGTTGCAAAAAGATCTCAATCCCAAAACGAAATGACGGCCTTTTTCTACAAGCGCTGGTTGCAACTGGGCTGGTTTTTACTAGGTCATCCGCTGGGAGAAACCTCATGGCACGGGGTGCTAAACGGTATCAGCAGATCTCGCCTCGCCAAGGCGTTTGCTTGCACACGGCAACAAAACAACGATTCGGGTGCGGGTAGCCCACACTCCCAACCACAAATCGGGGCGGAGTCCCGGCGGGTCTTGACTGCTATTGGGTTGGATCTTTAGATTTTACCTTTTTTGGGAAATCAAGGGGTTTTCCACTAAACCCACAAAAAGTTAAACTTTTTGCAGAGGGGTCAACAGAATCCAAGGGGTTTACCATGACTCCAGGTTTGGGTTACTCGTTCGAAGCCGATGGCTCCTTCTCGCCGCCACGGTCTTCCGCATACCGTGTCCAAACGATGCACTCGGCACGGGAAGGAAACAAAGCAGCTCCAAGAGAAAAGGGGCCTATGGCAACATCGAGTGCAGCAAAAAAGGAGCATGCCATGTAGCTGTATGAAGGATTTATTCTGCAAACTCATGCGTGCTTTGTTGATCACAAAGCCGCTCTGTGGTTACTTTGGCATACCTTCCCAGTGAATCCATCCATTTCCGCAGCAGGAAACCCATAGAAACCACCCTTGAACCACCAAATGCAAAATGGCGAAGGCTTACCCACAAGAGGAACCCACTTGCCAATAATTTAGGTCGCCACGCCTTGGGACTTCTTGAGGTTACCCAGGCTTACCCGTGTCGAGGGCTTACTCTCTCTCGACGTCGCGTCATCGATCGCGCCGGCGCGGCGAAGCAGGCAGCACCTGCGTCAACAAGCCTGTGGGCTCGGATTGCTGGGCATACTGCGTCAGCAACTGGCGGATCGCCCGCAGAGATGGGGCGAGAAGAGCATCGATGGGTTGTCACACGTAGAAACACGTTGGTTTGTGTTGGGGTGGTTTTGGACTTTGGGACAGCGGTGCAGAGATTGGTGTTGCTGTTTTGTAGTTTTGGTCTCAAGGGGTGAGAGATCCACTGTTCCGGCAGGCTTCTGTTGGCGAGTTTGGTTCGGTTTCATGAATGCACGCTGAACTGCTGAACAGGAAGGATCGTGAATGATCATACTGATTCTTGAAATCCCGCCTTCCTTAGAGACATCCTGGCAACCACTTAGGTGGTTCCTCGCTCGGATGCGTGGGTTGAAGCGATTGGAATCACAATAGCGCCCATGACTTGAGCATAAACGCATTACAGACAGACGAGTCCTACACAGGCCATGACCCTCGTGAGAAATGAAGGCGTTCCTGCAAGCTACTTGTGCAGCATACCTGTGTGTCTTCAGTTCTTCAAGACTCAAGTACAAACACCAGCGAATGAAAAGCCATCCGCTGTCCAGCCCAGTTGGCCCCGACTCGCATGCTGCATAAAGCTGACAATAGCTGTGTGGCACCCAGTTCGCTTCTGTTTCAGCTCTCCACTAGATGGGCAATCGGCAACATGCATTGCCACTTTCCCAAAGGCCCACTGGCTGCAGGAAGATGAGGCTTCTTCAATTCGCACGTGTTTCTTTTACGGATCGTGCCGTCAGACGCACGACCAGTGCAAAGGCAAGTGAAGTACCATCATTTTCGCAGCCTCATGGGAGTTTACCCAAAGTGTTGGCCGTGCAAACAGTTGGCAACCATGAAACGAGTTCGGATGTGGATGTTTGTGTCCCTCAACTTTGTCACAGACTCACATACGGCCTAGGAACCCGTAAGGATTGTCAGAACCGAATTGATCCGTCCAAAACTTTGGGACCCCTGAAACTGGTTCCATAAAACCTTCCTTGCGGCGTTTCATGTCTTACCCGTTCGTATACAGAGCATCATATAGTTTCAGATGCCGGTACTCTGAACATAACTTCAGGTTGTGAAGAGCTCTTTGTGGACCCCAATTCCACAATTATCCACCGACACCTGCCACCAATTCAAACGGAGCTTAGCTGAGTACTTGCAGGCACCGGGCAGCCAAAACCTCCACTCCGTCGACTCAAACCAGACTTGGCTAAGCTTTGTTGCTTTTGCGTTCCCTAACCAGACAACACACTTAACTTTTCAAGGGTCAGATCCGTTTAGCCCAGTTCAGGTTAAGCTGATGTCACAGCTTTCTATCGGCCGTTCTTTTCGCAAGGATCGGAAGGCCCAAGCGGTACGAATGCATTGCGGACAATGCGACCCAGACAATAGTTCTGCAGCATCTTGACCTCCCAAGGGTGGGGGAGTCCTCATGGACACGCATTGTCTATTTTACAGGCTCACCCCCCCCCCCCCCCCAAAAAAAGAACAACAATGCCCTACATGAAGGAGGTTGCAAAATAGACTAAGTGTCCATCATACAGAGGGGTGGGGACTCAGCCACTGGACATACGGGGGAATTTGGCCCGAACAACGCCCAAACCAATGGGAAGGTCCTGTGGCTGGTTTGGATAGCCTAGCGCGGATCAGTGGGAGGTTCAACGAGCTGTTTAAGAGGGCGTGTCAGCATTGGATTTATCTCCAGAGGCAAAGGGCTCAGGCGGGTTTGACGAAATCCAAACTCTTGAAACAGGGGTGTCACAAATTATCTTTGTTTAGGCTAGCATGGAGAATGTTTCGTTGCCCCCCAAGAGTGGTAGTTTATTCCTCCATGTCGCACTTCAGAAGCTTCCTTGGAAGAGGACTGCAAATTGACGGTTGGCAAATTGCAAGCTGCATATGTGTAGCGGAGATGATCCCAAGCGATGGACACCGTTTTGTGTCACTTGCCGACCAGCGGAACCCGGACGCTATTCATCGTTAGACATGAATGGGGCAAAGGGCGTCCCATTGATTGGAACTGGGCTTTTCAGAACCCTGCTTTGTACCACTTTGAAAATGGTACAAAGCAGGGTTCACCATATAAAGTGGCAACTGTGGCAACAAGGTGTTGAAGAGACCTTCACATGATGTTGTTGGGAGTGGCCCTGCAGCACTGAAACCCATACTCTCTTGTTCCACAACTTGATGGCCGTTTGACCGGCTTCCAGCTGAGGTGCTGAACATTGGTTGGATTGGGGTTGACGAAAAGGGGGGTTCTTCACTGTTATTTTGTCAGGGGTCTCCACAAAAGGTCACTATATGGTCACTATTTTGTCAACCTCTCAGATGTGGGTTTCTGTTCCCTGCATGTTCCCATACTTCCAGCTCCATTTGAAGAGTGCCCCCATCAAGAATTCCTGGCGAGAGCATTCCTTCATAGCGTTTGTTGTGCCTTGAGCGGAGGAGGAGGCTTCAAAACAGACATTGAAGTGCTTGCTTTACGACCATCAAGACGACCTCAGAGGCCCATGGCCACATCGTGGCCAGTTTCTCGCTTTCTGGTCTACTTTCAGTGTTGCCCCCTTAAAATCTTTGTTGCCCAGCGGCGCCTTTGTTTTCCTTTTTTGGGGGAAGGGTTCCCCCTTAAACTCAACCAAACCCAAGACTTGATGCCCTTTTTGTCCCATGGCCGCTGGGCATCTGAGGGATGATATATACCTTCAGTTCCAGGGCCTTCACAAGTCAGCCGAGCCTCCTGTGACGTTTGAAGCCTGAGGAACGTTGCAGCCGAGATCGCCTGCAGCTACAACGGAACGACCACCACCACCACCGCCGGCGCACGACGATTGGCCACCTTCGATTCGTGCTCTGATGGCTCAGCCGCTGGGAGGAAGAGGCATGTTGCTGCTTTTTCTGGAAACACAGTGCATGAGTTTATGGACTGACCATTTGAAACAAGAAGTTCGGACTTCTTTTTGGGCAATCCACTCAGGAAGTGAGACAAAGAGCCTTAGTTTCCTGGAAAATCTGGAGCATGGCACCATACCTGACAAGTAGGGATGGTTGTAGAGTTTTGACCCCATGCAGTTTTTCAGCCCCTTACATTTTCAGAGGGCCCAGCTGTTGCAGACGCCCACGCCAGCATCACCGGTCACGGCCTCGCGGGCGCACGTGATTTTGCTCTCGCAGGCGCCCGTGATGTTGGTCTCGCCCGCGCATGTATTTTGATTTCCGTGGCAGGCGCGGTACTTTGGGCAAGTCTTCGTGGGTCTCGCACGCGCAGGTGATCAAAACGCGCGAGTCTCGCACGTGCATGTAAGCCTCCCATCCATGCTAAATGTCCTGCAGGGTGGACTCTCATATCTTCGTGTAGAAGAGTTGTCAGGTGGGCCAACTGTGCTGGAAGTCCCTGCATTGTATGTATTTACATACCGTAGAGCCAAGGCCGCGAGTCTTTTTTATGCGAGAGCAGGCGCGCTTGAGCGGATGTGCTAACTGTTTGGCGTGCGTGGAGGCAGTGCTGTGCAGGTGCACTTGAGCAGGCGTGCTTACCGTTTGACATGCGTGGACGCAGGTGCACTTGAGATCACTTGAGCGGGTGTGCTTACCAGTCCCCCACCCCACCCCACCCCACCCCCCACCCCACCCTGCGGGACGGTTGACTGCTAAGCACACCCGGCCAAGCGCACCCGCTCAACGCTGTATCCACGCATGTCAAATGGTAAGCACACCTCAGGCGCACCCGCATCGCATCTTGCCTCTTTCAGTTTCAGTGCGGGCTGGGGAGCCGCAGTCTGCGTTGGGAGCATGTGCCCCTCGTTTGCTGGAAGGGGCGATGCCAGATGTGAATATTTCACAAATTCCAAGTCTTCCTGCGGTTAGATGCAACTATGCATACTAGTGGTCCCACCGCGCCACTGAAGATCCGAGGGCCGGGAAGCTGCTTCCAACATCGGCCCCGTTGTGGCTTGAAGGGGCCCGGTCCCCCCCTCCCTGAATGGATCCAGAGACAAACGTGGCCAAATCTGTGGCTCCGGCTTCAGGTCACCTCCGTGGGACTGGCCGACCAGCAATACTTCCAGGACTGCTCGGGCAAGGCGTGGCCTCCGTTTTCCCCCCCGCCTGGGCGTTTTCCTTTCGGCTGCAAAACGTCCCGGGTCCAAGTCGGTTGCTTCGATTCGTAAGGCCTTCGGCCTCAAGCTCTGTTGCGAACCAGGCCTAAGGAATCACTGGGGCAGTGCCTCGCGCGGCCTGGCCAGCCACGCTGGAGTTGAGATACATGTTGCAGTTTAAATGAAGCAAACAACACAACACTTTTTTGTTAAAATGAGAACCAGGCCGAACTCCACTTATGCTAAGGGCTCCAAACTGTACACCATCCTCCCCTATCAAGATAGAACCTACCGGGCGACTTTACGAGAAAATAACTCTTGTGGCTTCCGGTCAGGTTCTGGCGAGGCAAAATACCGTGGGGTTCCACGGATGGCCTGTGTGGAAACCCAGGGCACGGGCCCAAACCAGAAGGCAAAGTGGCCCAACCAAATTCCAACCACACTTGAGGGAGCTATATGTGACTCTGAAATGTAAGGGCCCGCAAAATTGTGTGCCCCAAATGATGTTCACCCGCCGTTTCGGACGACCCAGCCTTGGCGATACCCACGAAAGGCATGCGCGTGCAGCCGGAAGCCCTTCATTGGTGGCTGGGGATTTGAGATGGTTTGAGCCCCTGGTTGTTGAGGGTAACTGGGAACTTCCAAGCAACCAATTCAATCCACCGATCGGAGGGAAACTGCTGCAAAACCGGGAGTTCCGTTGACAGGTGCACGACGAGGTGTGCATTGCGCACTGCAGCTTCGGCTGGAACATGTCGGAAGAGGAGCCCGCCATCTTCGTGTGCAACAGCGGGAGCATCGAAGGCGTGCGCAGGCAACGTCCCCTATTTTCTCAGACAATGTTAGCACTATCAATTATTGTTTTGTTGTTTGCATCTGGGAATCAAACAGCATTTGATTGGTCGGCCCGATCGATCAAGCAATCAGGCAATCAGTTTGTCAGCCAACCAGCCAGCCAATCGATCAGCCACATGCTGAACCCGGACATGAAAGAGTCAAGATCCCAAGCTCAGCCAGAACAAGCACAAGTTTGCATGTGTCTTGCCCCACGGACCGATACGGGTTTGCACCGATGCACCTGGACAATCGTTTCACAACCCACCTTGCTGGGAAATGGAGACGCTACATCCTGTCATTGTCTTTACAAAGGTCATCCAAACGCCAATCACAAACTCACTCAGGCTCCTCCCTTTCGCTACTCCTCCGGTTGGCGAGTTTGTAGCTCCCACGAAACTTGTTTCCCTTCTACTTCGGTGGACTTTGTGCCTTGCTAGCTACGAAGTGAGGAATTCTGGGTGAGTAGTTCTTTAGCTTGCAGGTCCAATCGCCCCGTTTCGAAGGCCGCCGCCCCCCCCCCCGCTCCACAAAAAGAAACCAGAACGGAAACACCTGCCTTACACTGGTCACCCAGTAGTGCCCTTTTGCCCTTGTTTGGGGGGGGGGGTTCCCCTACTAAAATAACAGAAGAAAGGGTATGTTTATTCTAACCTCTCTACTGGAGGACCTAGAAAGAAACAAGAACGGAAAAGCCTGCCTTGTCGGGGTCGGTTTCCGCGCGAGGCTCGCCTTTGCCAACCTGCACCCCGCTGCCCTGCGACTTCTCCTTCCCGGATGGCCTTGGGGTGACGCACGCGCCTCGCTCGCCATCATGCGCTGGCCAGCGGGGCCCGGGGCGGGTTTTGAAGAACCTCCCAGACTAGCGGTGCCCCCTTCGAAGTTTGATTTGGCGGTTCGACCGCCAAACACAGCCAGATTTCCTGCATTGCCTCCAGAAACAAATCATAAGGAAAGGCATCAGGTCCAGCGCTACAAATACAAAGAGAATCTGTTAGTCAGTGACTGGACCTTCTGCCTTATGCCTTACCTTATGATTGGTTTCTGGAGGCAATGTAAAAAAACAAACAAAAAAACATCAGGTCTTTTGCGACACCTGGGGTTGCCAATGCTCGGTCAGTTTTGGCGAGGCAGGATTACGGAACTAGTTTTGGGAGCTCTGTTGGGCGACCAGCCAGTCAGTGAGTTGTTGAGTGATGTTGAGTCAACTCTTCCGGCAACGAACGTGGAGTGCTTTTCGGGTGCTATAGTGTTTGCGTGTGCCCAGTTGTGTAGGTATGCATGCACGTGTTTAGCCCTTCGGATATTTGCCCCAAATCCAGCGGACGAGAATGGTGAGAGCGCATTTTCTTGCAAGGGAACAGGTGGGATAACATGACCGAGCCCACTCGGGAGGATTCCTTTTTCTCGACAAGCCGGGGTTTGCCTCTCTGGACCTTTTTTCATGTTTTGACCCAAGTGGGGGGCCTGTTGGGCCCATCCCTGTTGATGGACCGAGCAGGGATTTGACATCACAGGGTGTCTCAGGGCCGGACAACCAAACGGGCTATCGCTTGCCATCCAAGTCACAAAGAGTTGCCTCTGTTTGGAAGATGGTGCTGCCGGTGCCCAACCCCGCCTCGCCAAAGTCTTGACTCCGATCTGCTCTTCCACCTTGCCGCCCCACTTCTCTTCTGGCTTGTCTTCCCCCACTCTGCTCATCCAGATTGCCTTCCTTTCGACCCGCGCGTCATTTTGCCATTCTCCGCTTGGCATTTCTCTTGATTACTTAGACCTGGTTTTCCGAACTTGCGCCTAACTTTTGTCTCCTCTATCAACATATTTCAACTTACTTGCTCCCCTTTGCCCCCTCTTCTTCCTACCTTTTTCGCAGCTGCTTGTTGAATGTTTTTGTTTTTTCCTACCGTCCTTTCCCTGCTCTTCTCCCTGCTCTCCTTGTCCTTCTCCTCTCCCCGCCTTTTGCTGCAATCATCTTTATGCTCTCCTCCATCCACTGTCCAGTATTGCTTTTCTCTTTTCTCCTGGCTTTTCTCCTCGCTCTTCTATGCACTTGCCGCTCCCAGCTCTTTCCTTTCGCACGGCATTGCAACGCATCATGACATCGCGTCACATCACATCGTCTCATTATGACATCGGACAATCACACGGCACACAGTTCTTGTTTTTTCCCCTCCTGCTCAGCCCACTTCGAGCGGTGGTGGCGCGAACCACGCGAACCACAGGTTCGAGAGGCACGTCCAAGCACGGATGCCGTGCTAGCTTTCCACTGTTCTCAAGTCCAAGAATTAGAGTGGACTTGAACGTCCTCCTCCCTGGAACGCAAAGAACGCGAGGTTGGTTTGAGACATCAAACGCAACAAGGAGAAAAGCACGGCTTTGGAAAACACCACACCAATTCCTTCAGAAGAACCTGATCGAAACAAATCATCATTCTCCCATGCAATGGAGAAAACAATCTTGAATCTCTCAATTTTGGGATTCCTACCGGGTTCTTCCAAGAGAATAGATGGGAAACGCTTTTTCCTGAACCAAACCACCGAACCACCAAACCACCAGGGAGGTCTTTTGGCCACCTGCGGAAGAATGATCGGATTCCTTCTTGAGGGGGTCGCCCATTTTCTCACAAAAGGTTGCAAACAGACGCCCCTGCAAACCGCCAATCCGCCAAGACTATAGACTGTATAGATACGAAACTTTTTTCCTGAACCCCCAAACCCCCAAACCCCCAAACCCCCAAACCCCCAAACCATCGAACCACGAAAAGCCGCCCTTTTCGATGGATGCCGGCGCCAACGCGAAGCCCAACGCGAAGTTTCCAACGGGTGCCTAAGGACTGCGCTGGCATCCGCACCGCCGAGACCTGTACGGCCAGCTGCAACGTCACCAGGATTGGCTTTGGCGTTTGCAAATTGGGGACCGGTTTTGGTGTCCGTTGGGATTTTTAGTTTTGTTCCTTTGATTTATTTGTGTCTTTGTTTCTTCATGATTTGCTTCCTTGTTTGTGTTTCTTCCTTCTATCTATCTTTCTTTGTTCATGTCTTCGTTTATGTGTTTATCTATGTATTCCTTCATGTTCTTATTCCTTATTGTTTTATATTTGTTCATTGTTTACTTATGTCTATCTTTGTTTCTTTCTTTCCTTGTGTATTTATCGATTTATGCCTGCCTTTCTTATTTATTTGTTATTGCTGTCCTGTGTTTATGTTTTTCTTTCGTTCATGCTTGTTCTTGATGTTTGCCTGTTTTGTTTTCCTTGATTTTGTTCTTTATCTATGTCTTTCTTTGTCTCTTTGTGCATTTATTTCTCCATGTTGCTCCTGATTTGTACTTGTGTTTCCACTATTTATGTTTCTCTTCCTAAATGTCATTATTCCTTTGTTTGTTTGTTTGTTTATTTTGTTATTTCTGTCTTTTGTGTGTTCTGTCTTTTGTTGATTGTTCTATTCATTTAGCTATTGTTCTGCTTCCGTCTTTTCTTTCTTCCTTCATTCCTTCCTTTCTTTCTTTCTTTCTTTCTTTCTTTCTTTCTTTCTTTCTTTCTTTCTGTCTCTCTCTCTCTCTTTCTCTCTCTCTGTCCCTTTTCCTCTTGTGTATATTTGTTATGTCTGATTTATTCAAGTATGTGTTTATTTTGTTTTGTGTGGTTTTCTTTGTTATTTCTTTGTTTGTTGCTTCCTTCCTTTCGTCTTTCTTTTTTCTTCCTTTTTTCATGTATTCCTTCCTGCTTCCTTCCGCCTTCCTTCCCTCCTTCCCTCCTTTCTTCCTTTCTTCCTTCCTCGTTTCTTGGTTTTGTTCTGTCTTGCTTTCTTTTTTCTCCTTTTTGAGCTCATTACAGTACTTCTCTATCTATTGGTTCTGTCGTGTTATTCAAAGTGCTTGTTTCTGTTTGTTTGCGTGGTTGTTTTGCTTGTTTGCTTGTGTACCTATTCCTTTAATTATGTATCAATTGATTTCTATCTTTCTTTCTTAAGTCTGATTGGTTGTGTGTGTTTGTTTGCTTGCTTGTTTGCTTGATTGGTTTCATTGGTTGGTTGGCTGGGTGGCTGGCTTGCTTGCTTGCTTGATTGCATCCCATTTTGCCCATAAGAAGAATCCATATGTTGCTTCACGCTACGGACGAAGCCCTGCACTTGGCAAGTTAAGTGGGGCTTGATCCATCCCTGGTGGGAAATGGATTCTATCCTCTTGACTGTAGTTCTTTTGGGTTTGATCGATAGGCGGATTCCACTGGCTTGAGTTCCACGAGAGAATTGTAGAAAAGGGCGGTTGGGCCTCCTTTCCAACCCGACAACGTGCCTTTTTGAAATACCGCAGAAGAATGATACCCCCGCATTGCCCCGAAGTCTTTTGAAACGCCAGGCTGTAATTTCTCCGCAGAGGGACCTGGTTCCGTACAAAACGTCCATGTGTAGAGCCTTCTTGGGACCCATGTCCTTGTTGGGGCTTCTTGTCAATGTGTAGGGGGTATGGGCTCATTGGGGATGGTCAAAACCCGAGACTCCTGAGTTCTCGGCGGCTGTATCCCTGCTGCTTTTTGAGTATGGGGGAAGCGCCCCCAATAATTACGCGCCCCTGGAACCGGCCCCAAGACTATGCCTTTCCTTTTCGAAAAAGGGTGCCAAGGTAGGTACGGGGCAGGACAAGGGTTTTGCATTTGCCCGGGGATGCTGCTTAACATAGGTGTTGGAAGTATTGCAGTTTTGGCATATGGCATCTTTGGGGAGCTACACCTCTCGCCCCATGCTTTATTTGGGTGCTAAACGAATAAACAGCCCTTCATATTAAGCTTTCACAACGATAACGCACAATGGGCATGGATGTTTTTTTTTTGGTGAGACCCTCCTATGCCAGTCAATTGCCCTAAGACAAGCCAGGCCTGTGTTTATCATCCAGTATTTTTCAGTATATATGTGTGTGTGTATACACGTGCCCTGCCTTCTTGAAGTATTCCAAACCAGTCACATGCCAGATGTCTCCAGTTCTGCCCGTGTTTCACTGGCTGTCCTTGTGCCACGAACCTTGGAAAAGCTTTGGGCCTAATCTTTAAGACCATAGGTGTCCTTTTTAGGTTAGTTTGGCTAACAATAGATGGCACGGGTTTAGATGGGGGTTATTCCATGTACCAGGGCCATCTATTTTTCCAAAAGGCCGCCTATGTGTAGGACTGCTTTTGGAGGTATGTCACTCCAGGGCCGCCGAATCAACTCGCTGAGGTTACGGGCTACACCTATGTGGCGGGGAACGCTGCAGAGGCTTTGACATTTGGGCGGGGACTTACTCCCATCCCTGGACTGCATACTGTTTCTTTGGGGCATTTTGCTTGGATGTTAGGACTTCAACTTTTTGCCAACTAATGGGTTTTCCATTAAACCACTAAAAGTTACACTTTTAGCAGGGGAGCAGAAAGCAACCCAGGTTGGGACCAAGAACAGGGGCAAAGAGTCGGATTTGTTCCACACGCTCTATTTCAGAATCAGGCTATATGTAGTGTGAATGAGAATCTGTCCGGCAAACAGTAAGTTTCGACATGTTCGGGCCAATCCACTCAAGAGAGTGGAGGTTCGCAAGTTGGCCATTTCTGGGACGTCAGCCTCTCGACCTCCGGCTTGAGAAGTTTGAGTGGGAGGGCTCCCCGCCCCTTTTTGAGTGACTTAAGCATTACAAGTTTGGTAATCTCAAATTGACACGGGTGGGGGCGAACGAGTCCAAGGGACTACTCCCCCCAACATGGTATCTCCCACGGTTGTCACTATCCCGAACAACATGCAGATACCAAAGTAATTTTGACCCATGCGCAGCACGGTAATGATGCAGCAACATAACGTTTTGTTACATGAGACTCAATTTTGTTACATAAGTTGGTCCACGGGTAGGGCGCTTCTTTCTGCAGGTGTTCACTTGCCAGCCTGGTGGCAGCATGTCTGGGACCTCGCCATCTTGCCAGCGCCCCTTGGCCATGGCAAGGCTTGGGCCACTCCAATAGGCGAACCTCTCAAGCATCTCCAAGGGTACCTTCTGTACTGCTATTGGGTTGGATCTTTAGACTTTAACTTTTTGGATTCCCCTCATATTTCCTTGTAACCAGCAAAAGTTGAACTTTTTTGCTGGGGGATCTACAACACCCAAGCGCCTTCAAGATGCTCAAAAGGCGTACCCTCAAGCAGGACACGAGGGGATGGGAGTAAGCCTGCGCGGCAGGCAGATTCGACACGCGAGCCCTGCAGTGCTGAAAGTCGTCCGCGTAATGCAGGGGTCCTTTTGAACCTTTCGGTTGCCAATCTCAAGGAGTTCCCTTTTGGCGTGGTTTGGGGATTTGAAGGCGCCCTTTAATATTGCACCCTTCGTCCTGTGCCACCCTCTAAATAAAACAGGCCAGACATGATTGAGAGTGTGTTTCCCGGTGAAGTGCAACAAGCTGGACCCCAGTCACGTGAGACGGAAGCCATTCGGGACCAGAAGTCGCCTTCCTTTGCTCAGGAACTTCAATAGGATGGCAAGATAGGAGTAGTTTTCTCTGGCTGATTCATGGGGACGTGCCCCATCTCAGAGAGGTCCTTCGCTTCTCGGCCATTTTTATCACATGGCCTTTGACTTCTCCGTGTGAGATGCGTCAGAACCTCCCCCCGAAGGTACGGTTTTGGGGAGATGCTCCGAACCCGAATCTCATAATGGGCGCCGCTTCCGTAGATTTTGGGGAGAGTGTATCCTTGGTAGGAGGTGTCAACAAACGGCTTCTGATCTTCCCCAGAATTAGCTCCTTTTTTTTTGTTGGCTTTTTTTGGGTCCCTTTGTTTTCCACCAACCAGGCAAAAAGGATAATTGTTAGCTGGGGTCCTAATTCCAGCCTAGTGATGTCCACCACCTCTTTGACAAGTCCTTTCGCCAACTCCAGCTGCTCTTTCGGCAATGGGCTGTGTGGTCTGCTTCAGTACGCGCAAGGCTCCGTGTGCAAACTAGTCCGGAACCAACCATTTAAGCCATAGGTTTGAGCGAAGCGACCACTCTCATTGCAAGGCCTCGGGCACAGTCAATTTGCCCCCTTGGAACCTGAAAAAAGCGAAAAGAGAAGCTTGCGGCACCCCACGCCCGCGCAGTGGTGTTTTTTTGTCCGGCCGTGAGGTTGGCATTTTTTCAACATGAATGGCACCTCTCAGCAGGCCGAGAGAAGGCTGGTCAATCGGCAGATTCCAACAGTTTTACGTGGACCATGGCGGAAGCCGTCTGAGGAGTCTCCTGTGCCGACCTCTCGGTTGGCAGCATCTTCAGCCACAACTGCCAGAACAAGAGGTATCAGGACTCCCTTTCGTTGATTCCCATCGCCAAAGTAGTGCATATGGCCATACCCTCAACAAAGGGAACCATCCAAACAGACGTTTTCCCGAAACGTGTGCCAATTTGCCCCCGTCCTTTGTAACTACATTTTGCGCAGGTAAGTCCAGTGTAGCATATCCATATGCCTGCTTCTTAAAAGACGGCAACCTTACAGATGCTTATTTGCCCAAAGGAAGCTTGGCTACGGAAACTTATTGAAGGTAGCACTGCGCAAAGATGATATGAAGGAGACTGAACGCATGCGAGCGAGCGGCGCGGGAAAAGAAATCGCGGAAAAGAAATCGCAACCCTCTGCGGGTGTTGGCTTCTCCGGCTGGCTGAAAGCTACCCCGGTTGCAATGTCTCGAACCTGCCTCAGAACGCGTGCGGAACAGTTTTGGACCCGTGCCTATTGGCACGGATGCCCGTGTTCTTCGCGAGCAGCGCTTCGGCAATCTGAGGTACAGGTTGCCTGGCAAGCGCAACACTCTGGCAGCCTGAGAGTGGATTTCGTGGCAAGTACAGCCGTTTTGTATGTTTGAATTGTCCACGTCCCGGCTCTACCGGGGATATTGCCACGTATGAATCTACATGTTACATGTGATATATATCCATATATATATATATATACATATTAATATTTATCTATTTGGTTTATCACTTTTGAGCACCGCCTGGTCACAGTGCATATCTGTACTCGTTGACACACAAAGACACACACACACACATATATATATATATATTCAAAACAACTTTACACATGTATCAGACGCACATGTGTAAAGAGTTTTTACACTGTCTCGAGGTCAAGCAAGTTCAAGGCTTCTCTCCCATCAGGTTTTCTGTAGGGCTCCCTAAACGTCCCTTGCTGGTTTCAATCATTATCATTTTTGGGTCAACTCTAAAGAATCTTTGTTTATTGCGGGTGAGACAACATGCCGTGGACGCCCTGTGGCGCTTTCCGGAGTTCTCCCGAGATTGGCACAATCCCTCGGGTTAACCGAAGTTAACCTTCTCGTTGGCCATTCCGGCCAGCTACTTGGCATGTTTCTCTTGGTTGGTGCACTTGTTCCCAAAGGCTGGCCCGAAGAAACTCGGCCTCACACAATGTTTTGGCTTCGAACTAGCTTTTCAGGTTGTTTTTTGTTTTTCCTTGGTGCAACAGAACCTGTAGTCGCCTTTTTTGCAAGCACAGTCGAAGGCACAGCTACATTCAGACCTAGTACTCAAATATGAGTCAAGGACCAAAAGTTCCCACCTGCTCAGGCCAGGTTGCTCAGTGTCCAGAAGAGGATGTTACCGCACTGGGCATTTTCAGCAGTGTTTAGGCAAGGAGTTAGCCCACCCAACGCTGCCTTCAAGTTCCCTTCCCATTTGGAAGCTCAAAAGGAACCGAAGGTTTATCCAAATTCAGAACATTGGGCCCCACACCATTCATCTGTAAGCTGAATCCCCCCCACGTGCGTTCCAGGTTCCAACTACTGGTTTAACCAGCCCATGTAGGGAACCAGGCGAATTGTTGTTTAAACACCTCTTGCCCAACCCTGCTCCAAGCCGCAGACGCCCCGAAGCAGGGGGCAAACACCGAAAAGGGTTTCTCCCTGCCTGCGCCAGCCGCAACGCAGCGGCCAAAACTGTTCAGACAACGCAGCATCCTGGCAGCCCAAGCCAAGCCATCCAACCCAAACCAAGCCAAGCCAATCCGAAGCCGAACCGAAGCCAACTCGTTTCAGGACACTTGTGGGGTGAGCTGCGCCACGGGATACGATGGCTGGGGTTCGCAGTTCGTGTGCCAAGCGGACGGCACCTTCCAGGGCTCGTTGCCGGCCCTTTGGGCTGCACGCAATGGGCGTGTCCTTGTCCTTTTTCTCACTCCCGGAAGCCCTAGACTAGTCACTTGTTAAGGCCATTTTGGTGCCAGACAACGTTTTGACTGGTTTTTGATCGATCGGAAGTGAGTTGCAAGTTTCAGGGTTGCAGGGTGCTAAATAGTTCACATTTGTTGGGGCTTTATCAAGTGGGAGGCCAAGAGGGAATGGCTTATAAGAGCAAACTACAGCCCCGATTTGTCACCCAGGTCGGGTAAAGAGGAACCAAAAGGGAAGTCATTTGCCCTTTGGAGACAAACCCTAGGACAAGCCGTTAAAGGAGAGACACATTGGCCCCACTCAGACAGGTTCTCGGAACCTTTCCCAAGACCTTGAGCTTCCTGCATTTGGAACAGGGATGGATTGCTTTCGAATTGCAAGCCGGTGACATGTGGCCATGGGTCATAACCTATGCCTCCATTTTGGGGCGGATGAACACCCATGTACCACCTATTTTGATGTTCACCAGGGGTACAGGGTTTTGACAGCCATGTCCCAAATTGGAGTCCCGCAGATGTGAAGCAAGTTTGCAAGCATGGGAACGAGGGCTTCCTGCCAGTTGGTTACCGGGTCTCCCAATTGCCATTGCTTCCAGCCCTTGATAAACCAAGCGCCAAAGTCTTGCAAGTTAGGGGCAGGGATTGGATCGCCGTGTCTTTCTTTGACACTGAAACTCCCTTTAAGGGGTGTCAGGCCTGTATGATTCATCCAGCACTTGCAAGATGTGCAGGGTAGTATTGATCGGGTGCCCCGGGGGAAGGTATGCCTCTAAAAAGTGTGGCTTTTACTCCTTATGCCAATGTCACCCTACGTTGCATATGTCAGTGGCAGCTATTCGAAGGGTATGTGCGTGATGATGCTATGCGAACAGTTGGCATCGCATCCTTGTATTTACAGTCACGGTGATGGAGGCGATATGTTGTTTCTTGCAAACAGGCTCAACTAACCATCACTCAAGCAGAGTCCAAATGGAGCAATACTGAATTTGCTTCTGCTGCATTGTTGGCATTCATTCAGACATGTCACTGATGTATGGTTCCACCCTTGCTTTCCGCGCGCTGGTTGGTATCTTGTATCTTCCCATTACGATTCCAAAGGAACCGGGGTGTTGACGTCCCAAACCATCAACTAAGGCTTGTACGGGCAATCCCTGCACCAACGACTTGCCGGAGAACGGCACCAGTTGGACAGCGGTGGGGTGCGACACTCTGACCACAGGCGCCAATTGTTTGGTTGGTTGATTGATTGGTTCATTGATTCATTGACAGATTGATTGCTTGATTGATTGATTGGTTGGTTGGTTGGTTGATTGGTTGATTTGATTGATGGATTGGTTGATTGATTTGATTCATTGCTTGCTTGCTTGATTGGTTGGTTGGTTGGTTGGTTGGTTGATTGATTGATTGATTGATTGGTTCATTGATTGATTGCTTGATTGCTTGCTTGCTTGATTGCTTGATTGCTTGATTGATTGACTGATTAATTGACTGATTGATTTGATTTGATTGGTTGGATGGATGGATGTATGGATTCATTTCTTGGATTTATTGGATTGGTTTGATTGGTTGAATGATTTGGTTGGTTGGCTGGTTGGTTGTATGGTTAGTTGGTTGGTCTGTTGGTTTGTTGGTTGGTTGATTGTTTTGATTCATTCATTGATTGGTTGGTTGGTTGATTGGTTGATTGGTTGATTTCATTCATTCAGTCAGTCAGTCATTCATTCATTCATTCATTCATTCATTCATTCATTCTTTCTATCATTCATTTGTTCGTTTGTTCGTTCGTTCGTTCGTTTGTTCGTTGT